GTGGTAGCACATGCCTGTAATTCCGGCTACTCGGAAGACTGAGGTGGAAGGATCACTGGAGCCCAGCAGGTCGGGGCTGCTGGGTGACAGAGTGAGACTCCAACTCAAAAATGAGCCAGGCAAGGTGGTGCTTGCCTGTATTCTAAGCTAATTGGGAGGCTGAATCAGAAGGATTGCCTGAGTCCAGGAGGTCGAGGCTGCGGTGAGCCATTATCATGCCACTGCACTCCAGCCTGGGTCACAGAGACCTTGACTCAAAAAATAAAGTAAAGCCGGGCTTGGTGGCTCAGTCTGTAATCCGGCGCCTTTGGGAGGCTGAGGTGAGTAGATTGCCTGAGCCCGCGGGGTTTGAGACCTGCCTGGGCAACTTGGCGAGACCTCATCTCTACAATAAAGAAAAATTAGTCGGGCGTGGTAATGCGTGCCTGTAGTTCCGGCTACTTGGAAGGCTGAGGCGGAAGGATCACTGGAGCCCAGCAGGTCGAGTCTGGGCAACAGAGTGAGACTCCAACTCAAAATAAATAAATAAATAACATAAAAATAAAGTAAAATAAAAGAGACAAGGCCGGGGGCGGTGACTCACACCTATAATCCCAGCAATTCGGGAGGCCGAGGTGAGAGGATTGCCTGAGCCCACAAGTTCGAGACCAGCTTGGGCAACTTGGTAAGACCTCATCTTATAATAAATCAAGAAAAATTAGCCGGGTGCACTCAAGCCTAGCAAAAGAGTGAGACTCCAACTCAGAAAAATAAAAAAGAAATGCTTGCAGGAGGAATATAAAGGGCAGCACCTCTTTGTGGGACAATTATGCTTAGCCTGAGTGAGTATTGTGGAGCAATGTTGAACTTGAACTTGGGTTCTACTGGCTCTCTCACTTGCTTTCTCAAGATCAATTTCCTCATCTGGAATATGGGACAGTAGCCCTTGGCTTCCTATGATTAAGAAAACGATGTGACATGTAAATATTTAGCCCAGGGTTGATTTATTGCAAGAACTTGCATATGGTTAAGCCTCAAAATACAGGGGCTGAACATGCGTGGCAGTTGCTCAATTCACACTTCCCATGCTTGTTTGCAGTCTTCCTCCTCCGAGTAGTTCCAAAGTGAAATGCCAAGTCAAGGCTGCTATGAGGCTGGGTGTGGTGGCTCACACCTGTCATTCCAGCACATTGGGAGGCTGGGGCGGGAGATTGACTTGAGGCCGGGAGGTCGAGGTTGCAGTGAGCTATGACTGCCCCACTGCATTCCAACCTGGGTGACAGAATGAGACCTTGTCTCTCTCTCTCTCTCTCTCTCTCTCTCTTTTTTTGCATTGGAGTCTCGCTCTGTTATCCAGGCTGAAGTGTAGTGGCATGCTCACGGCCTCTGCAGCCTCAACCTGCTGGGCTCAGGCAATCCTGCCTCCGCCTTCCAAGTAGCTGGAACCACAGGCACACACCACCATGCCCAGCT